TATTGAACGGTGACCAAAGGCAAAATTGGGGCTGATAAGAGGAAACATTGCGTTTAATGGTTTCCAGATGATGAGAACAATGTACAGTAAGGGCACAAAGTGTGAGATTCATAGAAAAGTTTTCCTAAGAATATTTCCAATCCTTTTCTCACACAAGAGAAAATGGGTTAGGGGGCGTTGGGTATAACTTTATGGAACAAAGGAGGCGGTGGATCGAATAAGTTTGAGAATCACTGCTATAGGGTATTTCTATTCTTTGGGAATTGGGTGTGACTATTGTTTGAGGGCAATTATTAATAGAATAAATCCAGTAACTTTTTTTACTTTATAATTATTTGATCAACAATGCAACATTCAACAAACTGACAATTAATTTCAACATAGTATAAGAGTTACAATGCTGATTGACTCAATTTTTCAGTTTATTAGAAGATGCTGTCTATAACCTTGTCATCTTGAAACTGTGTTGTTTTAGAATAAATATTGTAATTTATAGTTTAATTCATAATTTATTATATATCACAATATAAAGATGACCTCTCAACTTTTAATAAAAATATTTAGCAAATATATCAGTTTCCATATTTTACTATTTAATTAATCTAGCTTATATAAAATGATCTTTTTATGACTTCCCCCCTCTGTTTTCACTCTGTGGATACTAAGAGAGCCTTTTCCGTGCTTAGTATGGGTTTGGCCATATCTGCAATGGGACGACCAGGTAATGAGGGGCAGGACCCAACATATCTGGGGCTTACTGTCCATGAAAGTTTTCTGGGATGGCTCGCCCAGACTGGATCCTGGGTCCCCATAGTAGTAGCTTAACACCTTAACCACCTCAGCCATCCATTCAACTTGTATACTGCTTGTAATAGACATTTTAAGTAAAATTTTAAATAATAAATATATATTACTTTAATCTTATAATTTTTTTCATCATTGAAAAGTAATTATTATCCAAATTTTAATATTAACCACATACTAAAATATTTTCCTTGTGAAAATTAATATTTTCTTTTATAGATAAAATTAATGAAGATCATAAACACAAAGTGATTGCTGCTCTTCAACTTTGTTTGCTTTTACTTCCTTCTCCTAATAGACGTCACTTACATTTATTGCTCAGAATGATATATAAAATACTTGAAAATAATGAGTTAAACCTATATAATCATATCATGACACGAGATTTTGTGAGTATTTTTAACTATAATTATTTCAGTTTCTTTAATGTATAGAATCTAAATATATAAAATTACTTGTCCTGACTGACTGAGTGAGTGATTGACTGATTGATTCATCATCACCCAGAGCAAACCGCTGAACCTAAAGAAGTGAAATTTTGTACACAGTTAAGGTACGTTGTGAAAATGCATACTAAGAAGGGATTTTTAGAAATTCCCCCGTGGGGAGAGAGGGAGAGGATTAAGGCTTAACCTGAAGAACAGCTTCTGCAATACTATTTCAGATGTGATTTTTTGTTTTCAACTATGTTTAGTCTTCATTGAGTACTTAGGTGTATTAAATTGATAACATTTCAGACATTGTTATAAATATTTTTATATATTTCGATTTTTTAACTAAATGTTTGAACCGTTTTAAATTCAAATTTGTTATTGCATATTGGTTCGATTATAGAATGATTGTACTGTAAACATTCCAGAAAATTGATCAAATTGAAAATTCTCAGCAATTCTCATCATTCTCAGCAGTAGGTGTTATATAACAATTACTATGGTTGTTGAAATACTGAATATAAATGGGATTTGCTGGAAAAATCTGCACGTCCAAAGTTGCAGGTAACAGCCAGCTAGTAATATATATAGTAATTATTAAATTTCTACATATTAAATTTTATTTGAGTTTGAATGAAAAATAAAAAATGTGGAGCAGCAGAATTTATGGGTTATACTGCTGTTTATTGAATTATTATTTATCAAATATGTTGGCATTTTTATTGTGAGCATCTGTTTCAAAGATATTAGAAAATAAATAAGAAAATAATTGATCATCTATGTCTTACAATACAATTACAAATACAAATATTTGATAAATATTAATTATCTTGGCAGTTTTATCAAATGTATGTAATATTTTTTGTTTGTGCCATCACCAGAAGGAATTTTTTTATAACTTTTGCATATTTATGCAGATGAGTAGCCTCTAAATGAAGGTCAACTCCTCTATAAGACTGTNTGCGATTTTAGAAAATTACGGAACGTATCCCTACTTTTTCAAGGCAAGTAAAGTCTTTTTTTATGCGAATTTTTTATATGCGCTTTTCTGTAGAACGTATCCACCGCATAAAACGAGACCTTACAGTACTGTTTTTTAATTAGAATAATAATAATAATAATAATAATCTAGATACAGAGAAGTAAATACATGTACATGGTTATTCATAAGTCCATGAAACATTTTAAAAATTTATTATTCATAAATTACACAACACATACTATATTTTTTTAACATTGAAATAAAGGTAAAGTCTCCAAGTTTTTTATGAACAAATATTCAATGTGTCCATCTTTGCTGATGCAACAGACATCTAGCCAATAATCCATTTTCTTCCTCATTCATGTCAGCATATCACAGTTAAGCAACATTGCTTAACTGTGATAACATTGCTTACTCCACAAGAAGAATTCACCACAGTATTGGTGTTTGGGATTGGATACATGAATAACAGCGAGACTTGAACGATGGCGAGACAAATGGGACTACTCTATAACCGGTCTCCCCTCACACTTTTTTCCCCCNGTTATTCATAAGTCCATGAAACATTTTAAAAATTTATTATTCATAAATTACACAACACATATTATATTTTTTTAACATTGAAATAAAGGTAAAGTCTCCAAGTTTTTTATGAACAAATATTCAATGTGTCCATCTTTGCTGATGCAACAGACATCTAGCCAATAATCCATTTTCTTCCTCATTCATGTCAGCATATCACAGTTAAGCAACATTGCTTAACTGTGATAACATTGCTTACTCCACAAGAAGAATTCACCACAGTATTGGCTGCAAGATACCAATTTATATTTCATAGGCTACACTCATAGATTTGCCAAACATGATCCGTGATTTGTTCACTTTGCCTTTCACAACCAGCCTTCATCCTGGAATTTTGCATATCATTTCAACATAGTGTTGTACGAAGGTAGCTCCTTAGGGAATTCTGCTCAAAATCATCATTGTACATTCACAACAGACAAGGTTCCAACACAGAAAATGACTTTTCACATTTATTTAGAGCCGTATTTGCTATTATTGTTTCCTAGTGACAAATCACTGTAACTGTGTTAATATCCTGAAAAAGTTTTATCTTTTATTTCAGTGTTAAAAAATATAGTATCTGTTGTGTAGTTTATGAATACAGGTATCCCTCAGACAATACAGCACTTTTACAACATGATTTTACTCTAACACAGTTTGAGAATTTGTTACAAAATTTCACAGTTTTTAAGTACAAACTCCATTATTCAATATGTTTTTCTTTGAGTAAGCATGCATGTCTCAAATTTGCTCACAGATTTGTATTTGTCCTTTATTTCATATAGCATGGATTTGCTTAATACAACACTTTTTCGGAACATAATTACTAAGTTACATGAGAGAGATCTGTATTAAAATTTTAAAATGTTTTATGGACTTAAAAATAAGCCTGTATTAATTACTAAATAAATATTTTGATTTCTGAAAGATAAATATTACACGATAACAAATCAAAGATTAGTAATGTTAATTACATTTGAAAATTTTTCCTCCCTAACTCTCTATCCTATGGACAAAAAGAAGACTTTATTTTGTGCCCATTGCAAGTTTGGCAGTTCAGACTCCTTGATTACTTTGGCACAGGGCAACCAAGATAATCAAGAAGCCAAACATATCTAGATCAAATTTATAAGGATCCAAATCTTTCAGAGAAATAGATGCACACTTTAACTACTATGACTATTCAGATAATAATTTAAGGAAATTAATATTTATATATAATAGATCATAATTGGATATTTGTTGAATTATATTCTTTATTTATATTGAATTATATTGACCTATTTTCAAATTTTATGCTTTGTTATAATCATTCTTGTCGTCACTATGTATAATTGGATAAAATTGTTCAGGTATATAAAAACAGTGATAGAAATTTCTCTATCCTTGGAAAATTATTTTATTAATGCTTGGCATTAAAATAGTAATAGAATTTTACTGAGAACTATTATTTTTTCATTTTTTTAATTAATTATACATTATTTTATTAGTTGTTATATTAATTTTTTTTTACATTTAAAAAGTTTAATTATTTTTTATTTTTATAATTAAAAAGTTTTTAATTATTTTTACTGGTTCATAAACAAAATGATTTCTGACATGAATTCTAAACTTAGTTTTTTTTTTTTTTTTAATCAAAAAGTTATTGATAAAGACATGTTAAGAGAAATTTCTTTAATAAGCATATCTTTGCTGACACATGAAAATCTCATAAGCACCACTATGAGTAAGATAAGTTTTATGTCATAGTTCTACAGGCCCTTGCAGTATGCATGTTTTGCAAAAACCTTAGAAACATTCAACCAATAGAACTAGCTTAATGTTGCTGAATTCCATATATAATTGGACAGTGCTGAGGAAACCTCATAAATAACTAAATTTTTTTTTTTTTTCTGTTGTTCAGTTTAGTCAATAGTAAATTTAGTAACTACATAATTACAATTTATAATAAACCTTCTTACAGAAAATTCTATGCTGTTATATGAAATATCACTTATTTTTTTGTCATTTCTGTAAATTTGATTTTTAGTACTTACATGGGTTTTCATGTGTCAGTGGCAATATATCATTTCCTCTTTATCTTCTATTATACAAAAAAATTGAAAACAATTTTTGAATGTGTTATTTTGAAAGACACAAGTTAAGCTCATTTATTAAAGCATTATTTGAAGATTAAAAAAATATAATTTATTAAAATTTAGTCTAAATTTAAAATAAGTTTTCTTTCTACTTTAAAAACATTAATTCTTTTACTCCCCTTTGTCTTTAGACTGGGAGTAATGATAGTCAGATAGATTATGATTGTTATTTTTCTTTTTCCTTGCCATTTTCCTTTCTGTAACTTGGAATTTACTTGTCTTTCTTGAAGTTAACTCCTCTTTTATTTATATCTTGCTCAATCATCTCTCTTTACCTTTTTTCTAATCACTTTGTTATTATTTTACTCTCATAGGTGTGTATTGGAAATATCATTCCCACTTCCTTTCATTTATTTATATCATCATAATCTTACTCTATTGATTTGTTTTAGCTTACTTTCTAAGTCTAATATTCCTCTAATCTCTTCACTTTTGAGTTTTCTCTGCTGTGTTTCTCACAAGCTTCATTTTTCTAGTTTGCACTCTACTTATTTTTATTTAGGTCTTTACGATCCTTTAGGCAGATGTTAATTAATATTGTACAAAGTGCTATTTATATATTATCATTTACACTTTCTCAACACTCGTTTATTCCATAAAAATCCACTCAGATTTTGGTATGTAAAAATTAAAATAAGCTCGTGATGTGTTTTTTTATATGAAAAAGTTAAATTTAATTTATATTAATTTTAATAATATATTATAACTTATTATTTCAGAAACTTTGTATTATCAAGCAGAAGAAAATAAAAGTTTAGAGAAGAATAAAGAATTATCAGATAACAATAGTGCAGCTACATTTTCTTCTTTTGAAAATCTGCTAATGAAAAATCCAGTTCAATCTAAAGTAACTACAGATTCAGAACAGAAAACCTCTACACCTTTATATCTAGCAACAGAATTAAATAATGCTCAGATGCCTTCTGAATCATCATCAATGAAACAGTCATGTAATAATAGTGAGAAAATCTGCGATAATAATTGTGCGTTCAATAATTATCCTGAGGATTTTTGTTTTGAAACTGCATTCATTACTGTTAGTCCTGTTACTCGATTGGTTGTGAATTATTCTAAAGAACATGGTTCACAGTCTAGTCTGCACACCTTAACTAGTCAAGCAACATCTGGAATAGAAACTGCTAGCACAATTAGTGCATGTAGTCATGCATATCCTCATCAAAGAAATTTTATGATAAGAACTCCTTCAAATCAATCTTTTCATACAGTTAGATCAGCTAATGACCTCCAAGATTTAACAGCAGCTAATAAATTAA